CTGCAAACTTTCCACTGAAGGGTGTGGTTAAGAGATGCTCAGTGGAATTAACCACAACATGCAGGGCTGTGCACCAGTCTTGGATGTCAACACTCCCAAGCTCTTCGTGAACAGCTACTCTGAACCTACGCAATGATTTGCTTTGAGGACTGACTATTCTGTGGTTTTTGGATCCTCTCACAGATTTGAAAAAAACCAATAGCCATACAAGTTTCTACAAAAGTCTTATCAACTGCCTTGGCAAAACTTTATGCAAGGGAAGTGTTCAACCATTAGTCTAGCAAGCAAAATCAGTAGTAGGTCAGAACTGATTACTTAAAAAGTTGTATGCCAGTGCTAACATAGCCCAAATGCACTCTCTCAACAATGCAAAGAGTTCAAATTACCAGAAATGACTGCTGCGGCTGTTGGAATGGAACCAGCAGTAAGAGTGTTTATTCCATGCTTGCTTTTGAATGCTTGAGGATTATGCAAAAGCAATTATGAAAATATAATCACAGATATACTATATCCATAAGAAATTATTATTAGTTATTTACAAACCCAGTTGAAATAGAACCTCACCAATGAGCCAAACTGACAAGCTTTAAACCTCTTCAATTTCAGAGTTAGAGACAAAAAGTGGAGTTGAATTATCACACTCTGCTTTCATCTTCCAGAGCAATGTGTCTACGTAAAGGCAAAAATCAACAACCAATATGCTGCACAGGTATCAATCATCACCCTTGGTAGTTAATTTTTATACTCAGCCTTGCTAACGCTCCATCAAAGTCAGTCAGGCAAATGACATAAGAAAAACAAGGGCGTAAAAGATACAGAAAGGAAACATGCCAACTCCAAACAAAAATACTGGCACTAAAATTTGGCATTATGAAAAAGAGTAAGGAGAAAAAGTACAGTAGAATAATGTGCAGGAAAAATAGGGGGGGGGAATAAAACACATACATGATATTTATATATTTTATCTAATATACTTCAAATAACACACTAAGGGTAAAACATGTATTTTACAAAAGAGTGTTATGTAATGTGTACTGAAGCACATCACTTGGCATTTATAACAAAGACCATGAGGACAAATTAGTATTAAAATCAGACATGTACACTCCCCCAAAAAAGTGGCCAGAGAATCTTTATTTTAGATACGTAAATACCTCAACCCTAACCAAAACAAATAAACAAACCACCACCACAAAAAAAAACCACCAACACAACCCCTCCCAAAAAAACAAACAAAAAAATCTCAAACATTCATCTCAAACAAATATTAACATTCCTACCAATGGGAGAGTCAGGTGTTAACCCCATGCTCTGAAGTAATGCTTCAGCTTCTCTTCTCTTCTTTTCAAGATCAGATTCTTCTTGTACAGGAAGAACTTCTTTCTTCTGGTCAGTCTAAAAGTGATTCAATAATTAAGTTATAGCATTTAACCTTTCATTTATTTTGAGACCTCATAGGGCTTTTTTGTTCTTCTGAAACCTATCATCATACAGGTTAAGTATTTGACTCCAGTAATTCTGATGGTCCTTTTTGTAGATAGACAGGAATAACAAAGTTCTGTAGCTTTGGTACTGTCTTTAAAAGACATATATAAACATCTAAAAAGTTTGCCACAATGAATAACACTTCATAAGATTAAGAATACCTTTTTTTTACACTAATGCTAAGCACTGTAAAATGCAAAGACTGAAGAAATAATATTATGTATCTGTGTATGAAAGTGTTTTAGAGACATTGTCATATTGTTACAATTTTGAAATTACAATGACTGTATCAAGGAAAAGTAGTTTTCTTTAAGTTGTGTTATTATCTGCCAGATTTAAAAAAAAAAACACTCAAAACCCTACACCTCCTCCTCTTTAATTTAGACATAAGGCAAGCTCTACTGTAAAAGATGCTGAACACTCTGTATCTTTCCACAATCATTTAACTGCTTTTTTAAAAAGCAATTCCCAAATTTTAGAGCAAGTTCTCAGCTGCTAAGCTATTGCATCACATGTGGAATCTCAGATACAGGCAATACATTGTTACAAGATCATTAGAACATAATTTGAGATGTTTCCCTCTCCTTTTTGTCTGAACCATGTAGTTGGCAGCTGTCCAGTCTTCAGTCATATCCTAATTTAGAACACCAACCAGATTATAACCAAAACACAGAGAAGTCTTGAAAAAGTATCCCCAAAAACCAAAACATTCCAGCAAAAGTTTCTTTTATAAGGCATAATCTCCATTCAGGAGAAACAGCAATAAATCTCTGATTCACATCCTTTAGGAGACAGAAATCCAGAAGACAATATTAACAAACCAAGTCTAACACACAAGTGTTAGACTTACATCCTGAGTGCTGATCCGACTTTAAAATTCACCCTATAGATGGGTCAAAGAGCACAAGACCGTAGCACAGTATTTGTACCATGATAATACTGATGGTCAGACAATCCATATAGACATCCTGTGGACTGTACTTCAGAAATTAGTTAACACCACTCCAACTTATTAAGCAGAGCTTTCAGGCAATAGTTTACAGTGATTTAATTAATGATGTTACATGCACAAAAGTAGTTTTAGAAATGAGTGTAGGATTAAAAAAGCCCAGAACTAATACATAACATCATATGGACAATTCTAAAGAAAACAGCAGGTGTTTGCTCTCCTCAGACAATGGAAGTACTACGTTTGTACTGGCACCAGCCATTAAATAGACACTCCCTGAACTACACGTAGCAAATGATCATGTGAACCTAACCTTAAATTTTGGGCAAGTTACATATGCAAAGCCAAACTTCAAAGTGAAAATTATTTCTTACTTCTTTTTTCTTTCTCTCCTCCTCTCCTAATCTCCCCTGGCTGGTGGGTCTGAGACACAGGATTCCTGCCAGAGCAAGGGAAGGGATTTGCTCCTCTCTGATTTGAGCCAATCGCTGCTTCTTGCGCTCCAACTCCGCCTTCAGCTCACTTTTGTCCGACATGGCTGAAATGCTGATCAACAGAAATCACATCACTGTTTGGGTTTTGTTTTGGTTGTTTTGGGTTTTTCGTTTGCTGAGGTTTTTTTAAGAGAGCAGCTTTCCTTTAAAGAAGCTATCCTTAAAGAAATTACACTAGCTTACCACAACCAGAAACCTGAAAAGTCAGTAATATGAAAAAGAGTAATAATTGAAAAAAAAAATCACTTTCCTATTTCCTTTTTTCTTTCACTTAACACATTCTCAAGGGATTGATTTAAAACAGACAGAACTATGACATGGTGACAGCATCCATTCTTAAGGTAGTTCTGATGCTGTTTGAAGGAACTACTTTGAAAGAAACATTAGGTACTGAAGACGGGAGTATTTGATTTTGCCATAGGATTCTGTACAGCTACAGAGCCAACTGAGACTGAAAACAGCAAGGAGAGCATTAAGACAGTATTTATCTTTCACTTTTCACTTCAATAGCTAAATATTGGCACACTACAACTTAGTATGTAAACTATATATACTTCTACATACCACTGTATGATTCAAAATATTTATTAAGAGATTTAGTAGCATTACTATAAACTACAAGACAATGTAAGTACAAGTGTGATGGTCAAAGAAAACTATAAAATATGTGTATTATCAATTTTTGTCCCCAAACTTTTTGTACACTGTTAAGAAATTGGTAGATCATTTAAAGACAAAAATGCTACAAAAAGTTTTGCTATATAACTAACTCAGATACAGAGGAGAAGGTCAACAACAAAAGGTGGGAAACTCCCAAACTTAGAACTTAAAAAAGATTTAGCATACAGGTATGAAAAACTGTGTGAACGGACTAAATGGAGACCAGCTTAATTTTACTGTTTTTAAGCAAATCTAAGTCTGAAAAGAAAATGTAGAAGTGGTTCTACAACAACTGAGCGGTTCTACAATAAATGCTTTTTACACTAAGCTTGACACCGAGGACACAGGATTATGCATTAGTAATATAACTACGCACTAATTCAAAATTAAGAATACCTGCGTTTGCATTGCACACCTAAGCACAGACAAGAATGCAAAATGCTGCAAGCCTCATACGTCTACCAGTACTTAAATGTTTACAGAGGACACGAATATGTCCTCTGTAAACATTTAAGTACCAATAAATAAATACTCTACGGTCGGCTTTCTTGAATGGCATTCCCGTGTCACTCTGGCACAGCAGCAGGAAAGCGCGCTGTCACACCGCGGGTCCCCGCCCCGCCCACCTAGAGAAAGGATTCCCGAGGAGCGAGAGGGGCGCCCGCCCCGCCCCGCCTCGGGCTGACAGCGGCACGAACCTGGTGCCGCCAGAACCAAAGCACCCATCCCAAACCCCATGGGGGCCGCACCGGGGAGCGCGCCCGGCAGCCCCAGCAGGGTCCTTCCCCACACCCGCGGCCCAGGAGGCGGCGGCACTCCCCGGTCTCTCCCCCTCAGGGAGCCCCGGCCAGGCCGCCCCCAGCCCCACCCTGCCGCTCGGCCCTCGCTCCGCAGGGCGAGCCCCAGGGAAGGAGCGTTCGCTCCCCCTGGGCAGCAGCGGCCCGAGCGCGACTCGACCCCCGCACCTGCCCCACTCCGGCCCCGCTCCGCCGCCCCTGCGCCCCTTCCGCCGCCGCACAAAGGCGCCGGCAGCGGGAGGGCGGCGGCCTACGGCGAGCGCCGAAGGACAAACCAGCTCTGACAGCGTTGCGGGATGCGCAGGAACTTACGGGAATGCGGAAGGACACGGAGACCTGTTCAGGAAGACACCCAAGGCGCTACTCAGCGAGCGATCCGAAAGCAATTCACACGGGGAACGAGGGCGAAGAGAGGCGGGGACGGGGCGCTTCCCGGGCCCGGCACCGCGCCCCTCCCGCGAGGCGGGGCTGGAGAAGACTCTCGGAGAACAACGACGCCCGGCATGCAGCGCGCGCCGCCGGGCGTGACTCGGCGCCGGCGCCCCGCCGCAAGGGAGAGTGGCGCTGTCGCGCGTTGCATGAAGGGAGCTGTAGTCTTTCTGTGGTGCGGACGCTCGGCTGTCCAGGCGCCCGCGCCTCACGGGGCCCGGGCGGGATCCACTGGGCGGGGCTGCGACCTCTCCGTCGGGGTTGGGTCACGGGGCAAGGAGGGACCAGCCACACTCCCGTCAGTGAGGACCCACCTTAGCCCAGCCATCTCAGCCCACCCCTGGCAGTGAGGATCCACCTTAGCCCAGCAGCCTCAGCCCACCCGCGTCAGTGAGGATCCACCTTAGCCCAGCCGCCTCAGACTCCGCCTTGCCGATCAGTGAAACGAATCGCGTCGGTGCGGGCACTGGTTGAACTGTAGGGTTTTCTCTGCGGGCCAGGCGTAGGGCCAGTGCCGTAATGACTTCAGTGAGCTGGGGATGAGAGCTGTAAACGCCTACTGTGCCCTGAGCGTCAGGCGAGGGACAAATGGCCCGCGCAGAGGGTGCCGTGCGGGGTGTCCCGCCGTGGCCTTGGGCTGTCCCGGGGACACGGCGCTGTCCCTCACGGGCGTCGTGCAGGAGTGAAGTTACACCTCGTTCGGGTACAGCTACAAACTGGTAGCAAGTGCCGTTGCTCTTCCCCACTCCTCCTAAATAAGTATATTGTCACTTGCGTCGTGTGGAAACCTATATCAAAATCTTTCACCTGTTTTTTTAACTGCTGGGCTGGTGCTGCTGAATGTATCTCACTGAAGTGCGTGACACCTCAGCCTGCTGATCTTCCTGAACTGTGGTTTCCAAGGCAGAATTAATATGGATGATTCTTATAGTTCAAGTGGAGTGTGTGTTTTCAACACCCTACAAAACGAAGCTTTTGGAAGCAGTAACTATTAACTCCATAGCAGGTTAAATTTTCTGCTATTGCAAATTGGAATAATTTATTTGCAATCACTGGATCTACAAATAGTTGTGCCTGGTGAGTATTTCTTTTGAACTCGTCCTGACAAGCACTGGAAAAAGGCCACGTTTGCAATCAGCCTTTGTCAGGCTGCAATTCTGCTAGGTATCATAAACTGAACAGGTTGGTTGGTACTTTGCTGGGAGAGCTGCCAGGAGAACTTCAGTTGCTGCAGGAATCAGTGTTGATTATTTAGTCTTCCATGTGAGTCAGGGTTCACACTGTACCTTAAGAAAATTTAGAGAAACTGTCTGTTGTCTAGATGGCTTCTGATCATTGAATAACCTCCATACATTTTGTGAGAGTATGGGTGTTACCATTCAGAGAAACTGTTACATGAAAGTGTCAAAGAAAATTGTATGATGTGCAAGACAAGAGGTTGCATCTTTCTCCAGAGATGGAAATAAGAAGAGGATAGTAATGAACTTCCACTAACATCTGTCGTCCTTGAATTTGTTTGCCAGAATTTTCTCGTACCACTTAAAGTGATGTGTGCACCTCAGAACAGGAATCTGTGTTTTATTTCTGTATTTTACTTTATTTCTTGTCTGGCTATAAAATATTAATTTTGCATTTGATGCTTTCCAGCAATGTTTTTTAAGTTTACATTTAAAATTATGAATGTAGGAACCAGATATCTCACATTTCTAATTCATTTAGCCAATTACTTTTTGGTAATTGATCTTCAATACTGAAGTGTATTTCTTGGTCCTGAACCTACATATATATGCTAAAGGTCATGTTATTATTTTTTACATTAGTCCTTCATTTTAGAACACAGAAAATAGAATAGCTAATTTTTGCAGCAGTGACATCCCCCTTTTTCTTTGTAAATGATAGCTGTAGTTTTCAAATAACTCTACCTGAGTCAGTTTAGCAGTGACACAAACACTGACAGGGTACTAACTCTGCACAAATAAATTTGTGGGGGCTTAGCAGTCATGGATCTCACAAGTAACAGCAGTTTCAGTTTAAGTAAGCTGGTACATTTTTCATCAGCTGGAAGGCATGAGGTCTATGTTGGGAGGACGGGTTGGAGACAGCACACAGGTTGTAGCTGTTCACAAGTGAGCGTTTTCTTCCAGCCTCAGCTTCCCGGTGGTGGCATCTTTCCGTGTAGCAAACCCCAATTTTATAATGGCCTGTAAGAATGTGGATCAGTTACACTGTGAGGTGAACTCTTTCAGCACCCAGCACTGGGAAAACAGCTTATAGGGGATTTTATACACCCATCCTGTGCATTGGTTCTTGGATGGTCACAGCTTGGTTAAGACATGAACACCAGAGTTAATAGTGATTGTGTACCCATGTAAACAGAACTAGTGTATTACTGAGAAGTTATTTTGAGACATGTAAAAGAATGATAAAGGTGCATCAGGTCTCTGCTGCAGGTGAGCAGGAATCCAGACTAAGCAGAGGAAGATACCATTTGATTCAGAAGAGTCTCTACTTTTGTTTTTTTGGAGAACATTAGACTCCTCTGCTGACAGAATCATAAGGGTAGAGAGCAAAGGCAACTGGGCCATCATCTTGCTCTGTCACCTCCTTGTGCTGCTGAGGAACAGTGATTTGCTCTGGAGCATGAGCCCAAGATCTGTGCTAGAGAGGGTAGTTTCTTCCTCAAGTAACTGCCAGTGCTGTGCTGTCCTCTCTGGAAGTACATGAGTCTAGGAAAAGGCAGCTGGCCTACCTTTCTCCATTGAGGGTCCCTTTTTTCCCCTCATATTTCAGGGCAATTAAAAGTCCCTCCTACAGACTTACTGGAATTGAAATAATCAGGAAGATTTTATTTCATGATATAAATATATAACTTTTCTAATATCATTTGTTAGTCTGTGCTTTTGCTTAGAAAATTTGCTGCATTGCTAATATTAAGTTTCTTTCCCCTTCCCTGTTCCTGCTAGATGGACATATTTTTTTTCTGTTGTATCACAATAAGGTGGTAGTGAATGGGTCCTTTTTGAGGATTACAGAAAATAAGGTTACCAGCTGAAAAATTCCAGGTTCTCCTTCCTCAGTGTGGTCTGTGTATGGTACTCTCTTCTTTTTTTTCTATTACGTGGTTAAGAGAGGAGATAATGACAGCTTCCTAAGGGATCCTGTAATGCACCAAAACCTGCACTAGCTCTGGTGTTAGGAGAGAATATGAGAACTGCCAAGAGATCAGACCAAAGGAAAGGTTTTAAAGTATGTTGTATGCCAGCCTATAGTCTACCCTCAGTTTGAGCACCTGTTTCCCATTAATCTTTGTGGAAGTTTTGTTGAGAGGGGAGAATACGTTGGAACATTTGTTAAGATGATATCAGAGTTCCTTTTATATGAATTAGTTAGTGTTACTAGCCAAAAAGATAATAGGATAAATAGGAGAGAGAAGGTGTTAACTTTTTTCAGGGACTTTATTTAACTTTGCATTAGGATTTAATTATTTTTCTGTATGTAAGCAAAAGGGATATCTTATATAATCATAAAATATATTTTAAATTAGAATTATTATGAACTAAGGGACACTAAAATACTACATTTTACTTAAAGTCAATGCACTTTTCATCCAGTGACATCAAATTATCTTGTTCTGGAAATGTTAAATAATTGCCAGATCAAGTGCTTAATTATTATTTACAAATGAAATAAGAGCCTTAAAAAGACGAAGTGACAAGACCACAGAGATTAGCATTTAGGATTCCTAGCTTCTGATATTCTATTCTTATCATGAAGTAATATTTATTCTGCTGTAACTGTTAACTGGAACAGTTAAATTTTAATCTTTTCACATTGTTATGAGAATTAGTTGAGTCACTGATTCACAGCATCAGTCAATTCTATTTGATAAAGACTGGTGCCATGGAGTCATTTTACTGCTGACAGAATTGTAAGTAAAGATAGAATTTGTTCCTTTTCTGTATCTTTGTTAAGAAACTTGCTGTGTGTGTTCCTATGAAAAAATTAACAGAAAAAATTTTAAATTCAAACCATAAAATTCCTAAACATTATTTGGATAGCTAAACCCATCTACTTGCTAGCATAGGACTAATTTTAGTTTAATGTTTTATTCTCCAACTGGATTTCCTTTTTTTAATTTATAGATATGTTTTCTAGAGAAGCACGTCATATCGTATTAAACTGTTGATTATATTTTTTAATCAGGATTAATTTTTTCTTTCTACTTTGCTTGACCTAAATTTGGTTACATTAATATCCTGTTATTTAATCTATTTGACAAATGTTTTGGTTTATGTTTTCTTTTGAGATAGTCTGATCTATGCAAGTAGTTTAGTTTAAAAAATAACCTTTTGAACAAAAGGAATCCGCTTAGGTTTGAATGGTACATCTTTCAATGCCTTTGACTACATTAGCACATGTGTTTTCAGACAGAAAAAGAGAATAAACCTGCAAAAGGCCTTTTGTAAGGCTTGTAAATGGAACATATATGTGTGAACTTGTAGAGACCTAAGTAAGTGTACATCTTTCCCATGACATGTGATTTTGAGACTCCAGAAAACCATAAAACAGTGAAATGCACACGTTTTCTAATGGTAGAAATTTCAACAGCTGTTTCTTTCAGTTCTTTAAAGGCTGAGAGAAGTATACAATTTTCAACAAGTAAAGTCTATTTTCCTGGTATGTGTGTGTATAAGTGGATACTCTACTGCTGGCAAATTTTTATTCAATAACTGCTTTTAAACATAGGCATCATCACCACGGGTCTTGATGGCTGTTAGTATTCAGATTTCTGTTGAGTCAAATCTGTTGTTCCTGTCAGAAAAAGTTTTCTAAGAAATGAGCCTGTTTGTCTTAGAGAAAGCAGTTTGTGGTGTTGTTTTGTTAAATTTGCTACTGGAATCTCTTCTCTCTGGAATTTTTAACAGGAGATTAGACAGCTATTACATGTTAAAGAACACTTATTCTGCTAAAGCAGATTGGACTAGATCTCTGATGTCCTTTTCAAGTCTGTATTCTGAGAGTGCTGTGAGTACAGAAAGAAAAAACAGCCAACTCATATAATTTTTCTCATGGAACATCTTGTGAAACAGCCATCTGGACTTTTCTGTGGCTTTAGAAGTTTACAATCAAAATCTGCTACTCTGCAAAAAAATAAATAATTTGAAAAAATTAAATTCTTCAATTACATTATACTTGCAGAAAAAAACTTATAAAATTTAAACTTTTTAAAATAATATTAAATATATGTTTATAATTGGGGACTTGCACTTATTTTACAGTAAATAGAATATGTTCAAATATTCTTCTGGAAAAAATCTACATGTATAATTTGGCATTTCTTATTCTGCATAACATACACAAAGCACCATCTAACCTGTTAAATTTTTTTATAGCGCTATGACAAAAAGTAAACAGCACTGGTTTTGTTAGTATTGTGTATGCCAGTAATGCTACCAAGCTCTAACACATTTACAGATCTGTTTTTATGAGCAAAATGTATTTACAGCTGGTATTAAAGTCAGTGGAAGTATGTGCTATTTAAGCAATATTGTCATTAATCAGGAAAATTATTTTTAATTTCACTATAGTTATAGCGAATTATATCTTTCTTGCATTCATTCCCCTAAAGATGCCTGCAATTCAGAAGTGAAACAAAAAGCCCATTATAGAGGCTGGCTTAAATTCACTGTATATATCCACTGACAGTTACTGATCAGCTGTTGTGATTTATTTATGACGGCCATTTAGAGTCCAAAAAAAAGTAAAAATACAGATCTATGAGATTTTGTAATTTCCTGGTTTTCGTTTTTATGTTTAGTGATAAATCTAGCATTTTGTAGCATTTCTTTCTCTGAGAGAAAAACCCTTGTGGCTAGTTCATAGAACAATTCATCTTAAAAGGACCATTTTCGCAGCTCTTATCCCTGCTCTGGAATTGTGGGGCAAGTGACTGCAGTCATGTCTTGAATTTCACCTTGGTGTCACAGGAGGAAGAGTGGTGTTTTGCCACCAGTAGTTTTTGCCACTGGTTACTAGGTTACAGACCTATCTTTATTTTTGATTAGTCTCAGTTGTTTAGTGTGTCAAATTAACCATATTTATTTCAATAGCAATATTTCTTACTGCTAAAGCTCTGTGATTTGATATTTGAAAGGAAGCCTTTTGAATGGAAGGCATCAAATATAATTTGGAGTGTTATTAAAATCCTACCTGCATGGCGTAGATCATAACTTCATTACTAACAAAGAAATCAATACAGAATCATATCCGAGTGGTTTTTGAGCTTTTCTTCCTGCCACATATCAGAAACTGACACTTACCCTTGTGATGCAGGTATAAAGTAAGGATGGCAAATCCTATCCAGTTTTACAGGAGTTAATTCAAAATCAGTCACAGATACTCAAGTGACGGTTAAGAATTGCCCTTCAATCTCCTAGTTCCATGATCGATTCAGAAGAACATACTAGTTTTCTTAAATATCAAATAATATTTAGGAGTAAACATTTTAAATGACTGCAAAGTCTAAATTTGTGAGGTTAAAAGATTATCTCCACAGGGTGGAAATTTCTGCAGGCCATTGTTTGAACTCCTGAAATGTACTAGAGCAAATTTCATACTTATTTCCATTGAGAAGGCAAATTACTTTTCATAGAAAGGGATCAAAAGCATCAGAGTGGATATGGTATGTTAATAATAGGAGGTGGGACAGTGGGGGTAGAACTGATGGGACACTTACGGTTCAAGGAATTCAGCACTTTTCATTTATGCTGGAAAAAATGTAAATTATGTCACCCTCGCCTCCTAGTGCAAAGTTATCAGACAGACATCACTAACTGATATCTCTGCCATTAAAATGAATGGAATGTTATTTCCTTCTATTTATTTCTTTTGGAAATCTTCCAATATCTTATTGCAAATGAAACAAAAATCCACATATAATGGTGTAAGAAACAAAGATTTGTCTGTAGTTTCAGTGCTGGATTATTGCTGCTCTGTCTCAAAGCTAATTGAAATCCAAGATGTTTGTATCAAAGCTGTAATGAGACACTGGCAAATACCCTTCTGCCCCACTGGAAATGTAATCTTTCTATTGAACACTTTGTCCTGGAAAACTCCATCTGCAATAGGAAGAGGCGTTTTGCATTTGAATCCAGGCGGTCACTCTTTGGCTCAGATGATACAGTGCACACTCCACCTGCCTGTACATGAAATCGATCCTTTACTGCCTTGAACATGACTATGCATTTTTTACACCTAATTATCTTCTTGTTTCATATAGATGAATTTGGAATGCTAACACTATCACCCCTTTTTGAGCTTTGCATACATCAGTGAGACAACTCTCTGAAAAGCCAGATATTCCCTACGTAGGAATACTTTTAAAATACTCAGTTGCATTTCTTTACTACGTAAAACAGAATAAGATCACAGCGTTTCATTTATCAATAGAATGTTTCATAACATTTTCCTCACTTGCAGCAGTAAAGCAATAGTTCTGTGTATAGTTACTCAAACTTGTAGACTTCTAAACAGCTGGAGACTAAACTAGGTATTCAACGTTTTGGTTGTTTTGCTCATAAATAATGCCATTGACTTCAGTGAAGAGAGGCAACATAAAATTGAGGGGCAGTTGCAGTGTGTTCACTCTTAAGTGTTAAAACTTCCATTACCTTTGGAAATGTGACTTGTTTTTTGGTTTGTTGGGTTTTTTGGTTTGGTTTTTTTTTTAATATAAGATGAATTGCACTGAGTGTATGTACAAAATCATTATTTCCTTCCTTCTTTTGTTTTGACATGAATATATGCTCTTAGAGTTTTCATTTCACATCAAGTGTGTAGGTTATTTGTACAAAAAATGGGAAGAAATCTCTAACTATGGAAGGGATAGTGTGAAAGGCATAAATAGCAGCTAGTCTCTGCAGGTATGAACCTGTTCTTATTTAAATCGATGAAAATTTCAGTGCCAACTGCAGTAAATGCAGGATCAAGTCCTCAGCTCTTTCTGAAAATCAATTAGATCCATTCTTATTAGGTTTTCATGCCTTTGAAAATCTATCTCTAAATTACTGAGGGAAACCGATCAATTAGATTTCCGAGATAATTTTATTAAAATAAATTCCACAAGGTTCTGTAAAATGAAAAGAAATGCTTAAATTTACTGGCTTTTTATTTATCCAAAAAGAGTGAGCTATATCTGAGATTGTCAAATCACCTTGTTTTATTTGCTGGAGCATGTAGGACTTAGAATGCTGGTGTGACTCTGTGTATTATGAATTGTTTCTGCACTGGAAAGAATAGTGCTGGTGGTAAGAAGCTAAGTGATTAGAAATTGCTCTGTCAGGCCTTGGACTGAAATACCTTTTAAATACACTTTTTATATGGTGCTGTAGCAATTGAAAGTTCTGATTCAGTGCCTGCTAAGAAAATACTGGAAATGCTTTTAGAATTTTCTTAGCCAACTAAAGTTTAGTAATAGTGGATAACAAAAAATATAATTATTAGGAAGATTAAGCAATATTTAATGCAAAAAACTGTGGCTTGTTCTGATTTGTATCTGTTTTGAATCTTCCATTGTTCACAGGAGGTTCAGTGGTGGCTGAAGGGTACATGACACGAGCTGCCAGGTGGTACAGCGTAAGGTTTGCATAAAGGTAATTTTTCCATGTCTCCCATCTTCATCTGCTGTCTTTCAGGTGCAATAACCTATTTCTTTAAACTGTGTTACTGTTTTTTATATATATGTGTGTGTGTGTATATATATATATGACCATGATGTCATAAAATGTCATGTTATACATTATGCCACACTGCACTGTATTTACCTAGAGAACATAATATTCTTTTGAAATCTTACCTAGTTATATAGCTTTTACAGATTTAAAATTGCAACATTAACATTTCTGTTATGCAATTAAGCTATATTTTAATTGAGATATAAGACAATCTATTTATTATTATAATATAAATTAAAATTATGTAAGTGAGGTAATGTATCAATACATGCATATAGTATGTATGTTAGCATGCACAGTTCATATAATAAAGATATTGAGGTTACTACTAGTTTTATTTAATAAATTCAGATAGTGAGTCAAGTCAAAAGATGCTCTAAATACCGTACAACTTAACAAAAACAAACTTCAGTAGGAACTTCAAAACAAAGAAGATTGGAAGTGGTATTTGAGGTGTTACTATATCATACTTACTTATAGTTAGGAGGATAAAAATTAAATGAATGGAAATAAGGAACTATTGCATTTGCCAACTGTATCAGTACATATTTGAAAGCCTGATCCTCAAAAACTACTGAGTGCATTCTCTTCTGACTAAAAATGGTAAAAATGTAACTGTTAGCCTGAGAACAAGCCTGAGAAGTATTAACCTAGAGATAATTGCTTTAAAAAGTTATTTTAAGCTAATGAAAAGAAGATCATAGAAGAAAAGTGCCATTTCAACCATGTAAGGGTAATAATACCAGCTAATGCAGGAATGTGTTCTGGCAAAAATAAATAAGCATTGCAAAACCTGATATGGCCAGTATGGAATACAGAAATTTAGCCAAGTGAGTAAGCATCAAATGAAGGATTATCCCTACTTGTGGAGAATCCATTCCAGCAAGAAATTGAACCATGGACTACTGCGTCTGAAATTCGTAAGACTCCCTAGAGAGCTAAAAGGGAATCTGCAGATTCTGTCATCAGTATGCCAAAGATCTCTGCGCTGTACTGTGGTGCACAAAGGTAAATGTTCCTGAGATTTCCCTTTTTAAAGGACTTCTTTCAGAATAGTAATCAAACCTCAATGTTCTGAGTTTTTAAAACTACAGCTGAGTTCTCTTTGCTGTTGCTTTGTATGTGAATGCAGGAAAGAAGTTCTGATTTTCTGAAGGTTCTAAAATAAGAGCAAAAATATTGAGATATTCTGAAATGGCTTGAAAGGTAAATAGAAGGTTCTAAAATGTTACCAAATGTGCAGGCTAACCACAGAGAAAGAGAAAGGATAAGCATTTAAAGCAAAATATTTTATTCCATATTTAGCTTGAATTGGAAAGAGACTGTCCAAAGCAAATAAAAGAAAGACAACCAGATGTGCGAAACTATGTGTCAGGAGACTGGGGAAGTGTGGAGGATGAAACTTCTGAGATTGCAATATAAATATGTTAGGAATAAATTAGAACTGACTTTGTACTGCAGGAGCTGCCAAAATGATGATGCTAGACTATATTGATGCAGGAACATCCTATATGTGTTGTACATATCTCAAACAACTTCTAGAACATCATGCTAGACCACTCCAGAGCAAAGAAATTATCCATGGATAGTGAGTTGAAGAGAGAAAAGATTTTTATATATCTTTGTTAATATGGTATAGAGAATAGAACTGCTGAACAAGAAAATGACAAACTGGGTATTCTTAAGATTATTAACTGTATGAGCTAAAATGAACACCAAGAATGATAATGACCTCAACAGTCAATTATGGGTGTTCAATAGTTCTAAAAAAACCCACCCTAACACATCTCAAATAGACACACTTAAATGGACACATACAAAATCAATAATCTCCTTAAAAACTGTGGTGAAAAGCACAACTGTCTTTTACTTGGACACCTGTTTGGTTTGGAAAAGGATCACGTTATGAGATTCTGCCTCTGGCCTCGAGAAATAATGTGATTTGTAGAATCGATACTACGAAAGACTTTACGATTTTACTGGATTTTTGTAGCTTTGTGTTCTGTATTTCTCCTTCCACATGTTCAGATGGTAGGCTCCCTACAATGTTTTATACTTCTCATATCATCTGGAAACCTGTGACAGATATTTTTTTTATTTTAGAAACACTTGTTTGCTGATTCATTCTGCAAGCCTTCCCATCTTGATTTTGATTCAATCTTGTGTACAGCTGCATAAAGATGGTGAACTAGGGTCTATCATACACAAAACTGTTCTGAAGAATCAAGAGATTTTAGCAGAATATCCCAGCAACCAGAACTGTGCAGATGAGTCCACTTAAGATATGGTTAAATACTTTTTGCCAACCTTTAATGAAAAACACTGTTGTAAAGCTGACAACAACAGCTAAGAAATATAAACATATATTTAAGTCAATGAAAACTAATTAGATGAGCTCTCTGACATCAATGTGATTTGATTATAAATACAGAAAGGAAGCTTCATGTTTATGAAAGCTTTTCCAGTGACATTGTAATGAATTGCAGCACATCTTTGCCCCTGCTTTTTGACCCGGTGAAACACAAAAAAAATCATTTTGTTTATTCTATAACAAATGGCTGCATGTGTGTGATAACACTGTAATAAACAGCATTGACTTGTGGAATGTTAAGCACACTTTCTCAATGAGATTTTTCATTATTTCAAGCAAAGCAGATGTATTCATAATTTCATCTTTGGGTGGATATACAAATACTTTTACTGTAGAAATCTAGGCTTAAGCCCCTTAGACCTTCAGTCATACAACTCAGTTGAATTCAATGCACTGGACATTTTCTGCTGTCCTTAGTGAAAAGCTTTCTTCTTATTATATTTGTATTACTGATATAAATTGGCTCACGGGTCGAGCACAGAGGGTAATAGTGAATGGGGTAACATCAAAAATTAATTACTACCATTTAAAAGCAGAGTTGGTTCCATCAGTGCATACAAAATGATGGCAACATAAAGTTGCCCTGCTAGTTAATTCATATGAAAAAAATGTGTTCTTTCTACAGTATATATACATGTATGTATGTATGTATATATGTATGTACCTGCATAAACTTTCTCACAGGTAGACACACACAATAGTCAAGGTTCTTGTTTTCAGAAAAACTTTCAGTCTTACAAGATTTCTAAGCTATTCATGTAGAATCTGTAGGTCAGGAGGATACACTTTAAAGAAAAAACTTTTTGCTTCCAGGAAGAGGAATGGAACTTTCTAATTGTGAAAGCCAGCTACCTGTGCCTTTCTACAGTTGCTTATGCAGTTGGAGGTCATTTATTAGGCCATTATTAAATCTGTCATTTAAAAGTCGAAAATAAAAACCCAAGAGTTTGGCAAAAATAATAGATTTAGCATGTACTCTGTTTATAAATAACTTTTTTTTAAGTGTTAAAGTTAATCCATAAATTCTGGATCATAACAAATGGTAGTTTCAAATGCTAGCTTTTAGATGTCTTAAATTACCTACTGCCTGTGGCAAACCCCACCATTTTAGGTGCACCTGTATGATGCGTAGCCTATTACAAGATTTTTACTTACACAGCATCAGAAGCTGTTTTGAAATATCTGAACTTCAGAATGTTTGTCTGTCTCCTACAAAGTAGCTAACACCAGCTGGCCATGTGCATGTGTGTTTGTGTGTGCATGTACCTGCACTGCTGTGCGTTAATTCTTCCATTCGAAAAGATGTCTAAACTCACCGTAGATAGGCAGAATTCCTTCCTTTAGCTACTCTTCACAGGAATGAATTGGTTAAAAAAGCCAGGTATGCAAATATTGTCTGATTTTCCTTTTCAAATGACTGTGTTACTGCACTATCCTTAGATCAACAAAAAGTGTAATTCTACTAACAAAAAACTGACATGAGCCAAGGGGAATATTTTGCTGTATTGAGTTGTGGAAGCTAGTATACATTTAAAACAACCAAACAAAACCAACCAAACAACAAAAGATAAATAATGTGAAAGGAATAAAAAGTGTGGTATTTCCCTACAGTCAAGGAACTTTTGGAATATATGACTTCACTTAACATTTGTCCTTTTTCCTTCTTCATATTGATAGTTTGATTACTTGTGAAGTACAGGCATGTTTAAGGAGCTTTTATGCATAAACTCTGAAGTTACTCATGTTTCCTTAAGTTAATATTTGATGTGTATAACTAAGTCAGACTTTAATTTCTTGTGTGTTAGAGATATGAGAGAGCCTCAAACGCACAGGAAATAAAGTAATCCTGCATTTGGGTCACAACAAGCCCATGAATGCTACAGGCTTGGGGAGTAGCGGCTGGAAAGCTGCCTGGTGGAAAAGGAGCTGGGGATGCTGGTCAGCAGTCATCTGAACATGAACCAGCAAGTGCCCAAGCAGCCAAGAAGGGCCAACAACATCCTGGCCTGTGTGAGATATAGTGTGGCCAGCAGCACCAGGGCAGTGACTGTCCCCCTGTACTCGGCACTGATGAGGCCACGCCTGGAATCCTGTATTCAGTTTTGGGCCCCTCGCAACTAAAGAAAGACTTTGAGGTGCTGGAGTGTGTCCAAAGAAGGGCAACGAGTTTTAATACTTGGAAATCTCAATCTAAAAGGAAGTACCTGTCTTGCTTTCTGTATGTTTCCTCCAGTGTCCTCCAGTATATTTAACTTTAAACTATGTGCTGGTTTCAGCTGGGGTAGAGTTAATTTTACTCCCAGTGGCAGGTGTGGGGCTGTATTTTGAATTTGTGCTGAACACAGGGGTGATAATACAGAGATGTTTCTGTTGTTGCTAAGCAGGGCTTACACAAAGTCAAGGCCTGTTCTGCTTTCTGTGCTGCCGTATTGGCAAGGAAGCTGGGGGTGCATGGGAGGCTGGGAGGAGACACAGCTGGGACAGGTGACCCCACCTGACCACAGGGATATTCCAGACCGTATGACATCATGCTCAGTATAGAAAGTGG